TATATTTACAATACGGTGTCAGCATAAATTAGTTTATGAAAAGGGTTTAAAAAAGTATCCGACCACCCCGTAATTTTTTGAAAAATAAAATTGATGCGTAAAGTCAATTTTAAATCAACAGAACTTTCTGATTTTAAATGCGGAAGGATTATTGGTATGTGGGAAGCTGGCTTGAGTGAAAGAGGGATTCAAAAAAAAAAAAACTGAGCATAAAAAAACGATACAATAGCAAGATATAGAGATGGGGCAAATAAAACCAACACTAAGACCAGGTGGACCAGTAATAGCATCAGCTCGTGATAAAAGAGGTCTTATAAAAATTGTTAAAAAAGATAGAACACAAACTCTCTTCAATCTCACTGACTAATTTAATGAAACAACTATACAATTTATCTGTAAGTTCTTCAACTGTACGTAGATATCTTCATGAATTAGGTTATTATGATCGTGCTGGATTGAGAAAATCTCTTATAAGTGAAAAAAAAAACAGAAAAGATCATCTAACATGGTGTCGTCTAAGAAAAAATTGGGTTGATGAATGGGATTTAATAATATGGAGTGATGAATCACGTTTTGAAATATTTCAAAGTAATTCACATCATCATGTGTGGCGTAGACCTCAAGAAAAGTATGTCATTGACTGTTTAATTCCAGCAGCAAAACATGGCGGTGATGGAGTTATGGTATGGGTTGTTTTGTAAATGGCAAACTTGGACCCGTTAGTTGAAGTTGATGGTCGTATTACTGGTTCGAAATATAGAGAAGTACTTGGAGAGAATTTAATTCCTTTTTTAAATAGTTTAGATGGTCAATTGACATATCCCTTCCAGGATAATAATTCCCCTGCACATACAGCAAATGATACAATTAAATGGAAAGATGAACATTCAATCTCATACATTCAATGGCCTGCACAAAGTCCCGACCTTAATCCATTGAACATTTGTGGGATGTTTTAGAAAGAAAAGTTCGAGAAAGGATGCCACATCCTAAAAATAAAAAAGATTTGATTGTTACATTGAAAGAGGAATGGGTAAAAACTGAAGCCGAAGTAATAAAGAATTCTGAGGAGAGTGAAACCCATCATAGATAGTCATTGCAATCCAACAAGATACTGACTGACTGGCTTTTGATAAACGTTTTATTTATTTTTTATTAATTTTATTATATAAAATATTTAATAAAAGTCAACAGAATACAGAGTCTTGAGCTTTTACGTTTCGTTGTCTATACTAGACCAACTTTTCTCAAGATATTTTAAGTGGACTTACTTAATGACATAATCTACGTTTTAACAGAGTTTTGAACTGTTTTACTAAGCTCAAAGTTTTCATAAAAATCACAGAATTTTTTGTCTAATTTAAATTCTCATCCTAAGTTCATTAATAATGCAAATCCAACGAAACTTTAAATTTATATTCAAATTAACTTTAAAAACATATTTACTTGATGCACCAGTCCCGGTTTGGTTAATAAAATTTTGAACTGCGTGAGGCACAAGTTTCCCAATTTTAAAATGATCGTCAGGTGGTCGGATATTTATGGTAGGGCACAAACAGCAACAATAATCTCGTGACACGAGGCACGGATACTTTCTTCCAGGCAGTGTATATACTTCTTCTATAAACCGATCAATTCATCAATTCCAATTTTTTCACCCGAGGAATTAGCTATCCAGAACACTTGATTTCGGCTGAATTTATTAAGACAAAATATTGCAAAAAATACAATGCTTAATGCAAAAGCACCAAAGATATTATTATTCGTTAAATTTATTAACACCAAATAGTTTCTTATTTGTTCTTGAATTATTATTGTATTTTTTTGGAACAATTAATAATATAGACATTAAATTTAATTGTTTATTTGATTATATGCTTTCTTAAAAGTTTCATGTGTGCTACTCTCATTACAATTCAATTGATAATTTATTAATTGAATATACTTTTTTTTTCCTCAATAAACTTCTTTATCAAATTGTTTCTCCTTCTTCTATCTCTTCTCGTAAATCATCATCCATTTATTTCATTAATACTCACTTTCCTCTCATCGCACATAATATATATGATAATATACAATTATAAATTAATTGTTTAAATAATCCACGTACAAAATAGTTACTTTTAATATTTATTCAATTGTCACTACACGACACTTAGTTTCATTATCATTTTAGCTGATTCAGCTAAAATCGAGTGTATTAAAGTGCTGCCAGTCAAGTGAAGAATTCGATGCGAAAAAAGAGAAGGTAAAAATGATCAACAACATCCGTCAGCAATTCTTGAATAACATTTAAAGACTTCTAGAGTATTTATTCTAAATCAGCTTTAATCAAAGAGCTTTTTAGAAACAAAATATTACATTTCCTGCTGATATCCTTTGTGGTTATGTTGATTCCTTTTAGTGCTCGATTTGTTAAAGAACAAAATTAAAATATTAAAAAACAGTCCACTCTCTCTCTATAATAATAATGGATCGTTGGATTAGAAAAATATATCCGTTATTGTTATGTTAAAATTTAATTATAATTAATTCATAATTTTTATTGTAAGAACTATCAAAAAATCATTATTTTTTTTTAAAATTCAATCAAACCTATTGTTTAATCCTTTTCCTCCCTTTCTTTGTATGTAACCTTTGTCTCCATATATTGTGAGACCATGCGAGTAAAACTTTTAAGGAGTCAATTTAATAATATCCAAGGTAGGGAGATCCGAGTAAGATATTTTTTCCTTCCTGATTTTATACAATCGCAACATCTATGCAAGCCTCTCATTATTATCCCGGTCAAAAATTTATTCTGACGATGACTTTGTAGTGCAGCTTTATCATAGCTTTCGGTTTTCCTCGCAAGATCACTGTCACGTAAGATATTAACGGTGAATGTTCATTTAATTAATTTAATTAGTGTTTTTATGAAGTAATATAAATAATATAAACAATTTTTTTAAAAAAACAATTATTCTAATGGTTGTTGGATTAATTACCAAATTAAAATCATCCATCATTTGAAAAATACGTGTCTACCTTTTGATCTGCAATGTGGAATAGTGGCGTGGAAAGGAGTCTAAACATGGAAGAAGACCCTTTGAAAAACAAAAGGTAATTTCAATAAAATTCGGGAACCCAAAAATTTCCCATTTCATTTGAGAGAATTACTTTTTGCGAAACAACTAAATATTCATAACATTTGTCAAAATATAATAAATGATCGAAGATTAAAAAGTTATTGGCAATCGATATATTCAATGTATCCATTTTATTTTAATTAATATTAATATTAATGAATTCGGTCAGCAATCAACTAATACTAATACTACTAATACTAATACTACTAATACTAATAATAATAATAAAAATTGCGATTTCTATTATCGATGAAATGTATTATGTGAAACATTGTAAAATTTTCAATATGCAAAATTATGCAGGGACGTTTTAGGACTTAAAGGGACCGGACCTGAAAAGGCCGTACCTGGATTGTTCAGGACCCGATCTCTAAGGACCCCTAGTTGTAATTATTATTTATGCATAATATCTTTAAAGTACAAATTTAGTAACATTTAATTCTTCCATTGTAAGCATTGTTGTAACTTCGTAATTGACATAAAAGTTAATAATAATATAATAATAATCCTTACTTTCAATTTGTATTATATAAATATGTCAAGCCACAGAGTCAGCGTTTGGACTGGTTATCTGTTATTTAATTGGTTCAATTCTAGCAATGTCTTTGCATTGTCAAGAGAACACAATGATAACAAGATGATAATTCTTGAATTGGTAAAATTATTCTATATTTAAAAAAAAATATATTTTTAATTAAATCAATTGATAAGATTTTTTATAAACATACACTGCCTGGAAGAAAGTATCCCGAACCTCGTTTTTTTATTAATTCCTAAAATTTTTAAAAATATCATTGTGTAGCTTATGTTCTCACAATTTTCAAACCAAAGGAAAATAAATAAACTTCAATTAAATTTGTGATTTTCATTCTCCAATTTTATTTAAATTTATATTCACACAATAAAAAAAAATCATCAAGAACGTCATTTTGTAGGCTAAGTTCTAAGGAATAATCAAGGAAAACTAGATCAAAATTTTTTTTAAAAAATCGGAATTAACTGAAGCTGAACGTGGGGGGGGGGAGAGGTTGGACCTTAAAACAGGTGATAGTAGTCTTAATAGAATTGTAAAGATACTCAAACTTCCAAAGACTACAGTTTATGATACCATTAGACATTATGAAAATCCCGAAAGTTTAAAAGTGCTCCAAGAAGTTGTCGTCCCAATGCGTTAAAAGTTACTAAACAAAAAGAAATCTCATTAAGAAACAATCGCAGTTCTGCAGAAGAGATTCAAAGAAAATTTGCTGGAGTCAGTGGTGTTGAAGTGTCGGTTAAAAAATATCACCGTGTAGCTTACGTTCTCACGAATATGTATGTAAAATTTCACATTAATATATGTATACGCTACCATAAATATCCGACCACATGCTCCGTGTAACGTCAAATGAAAAAGTGCTTACTAAATAAAGTACGCTTTCTTTAATAAAACTTTTTCTGGTATACTAAGTAAACACATATTTGATATCAAAACTCTATATTAGAAAAATTTCGAGCAGTTCGGTATGGTATTAATGGAAATATTTAGCAAATCATCCAAAAAAGCAAATTTCCGATTGAATTTTTACATGTAATAAAAGGTCAAATTTTTTTG